AAATCAAACATGAATCAGTATTACCATATTACTGTAAAAAAAAGGCAGTGTGAATAAATAAATGTATGAGTATGCATATATCTTTTGCAAGAAATATTAAAAGTTCCTTCATGTATCAACATTGCTGAAATTTCAGTTAGAGTATTATGGCCATACTGTGGGTACAAGTACAGGAGTGTTCAAAGGTCTAGAAATCCTGAAAGCCTTAAGGAAAACATTGAAAAACTGGACTTGTTTAGAGAGCAAAAGCTGGTAGGTAGATAGGTAGGTGTGGTAATAACTCCTAAATATGTACAAAGGTTTCTGCAAAGAAAAAAAGATATTCTTTTCCACGCTAGTTTACAGTTTAAATAAGAATTAATGGGCTCAAATTACAGCAAGACCATTTAAATTGGATACTAGAAAAATTTTCTAATGTAGATAGGGGGATAGATTACCCGGGAGGTCATAGAATCTCATTTTTTGAAGATATCTGAGAACAATCATCTCTCAAGAGTAACTTTCCTAAGGCCAGTGAAGTACCCACAGTGGTCTGGCATCCTTTCAGCCATATTGTCTATGATTAAAAATAGGCTGTTACCTCCAAGCCTGCAGCAATTGAAGAACATGAAATTTTACAGAATTAATCTTGACAGCCCATAGAAATTGTATTTTTTATAGGAGTATAGAATTCCAATAACAGCCCATGACTCTACTACATAACCCTTGAGGAAAATTTTTTGTGCCCCCAAAGAAGTCAGGTTCATTAGATGGTAAAAACACTCCAGTTTTAAGCTTTATACTGTATGTCTCATTTTCCTTTTTTATGCATTCCTGCCAAATTTAATAATGACTCAAGAATAATAAAATACATATTTTCACCCTTATATCAAAGGCATTTGATTTAAATGCAGTACATTTGAAAGTTCTGAAAAGTCCTTATGGCTTCTGCTTGTAGATCTTTCAGATGAGTTGATGCTGTCATGCTGACTTTTGAAATTTGTGTCTATGTCACTGACGTATGAAAATAAGGGTGGTGAAACACTGGCACAGGTTGCTGAGAGAGGTGGCAGATGTCCCATCCCTGGAAACATTCAAGGTCAGGCTGGGAGGGGCTCTGAACAACCTGATCTAGTTGAAGATGTCCCTGGGAGGTTAGACCAGACGACCTTTAAAGGTCCCTTCCAACCCAAACTGTTTCGTGATTCTTGATTCTATAGGAAGATTCCTATTGCATTCAGCAGATTTCTTTCAAATTCATGACAAAATCTCCTCCTGAGAAAATCTGTAAATAATAATGAAAAATTTGCAATCTAGAGAAAAGCTGTTTCCGTGCTTGTAGCCAGCAGGTAACTCCAATGAAGTCTCTGGGGCGTATAGAGAGTTATAGAGATAACTATCAAATTAGGTCCCTGTTAGCCAGGGGATATTAGATGAAGACTGTTAAATTCATTTGAAAGAAAAACAGCCATTAAAATGTCCCATTCTCCCTGCAAAATACTGCAGAGGTCAGAATATGCAGAATTGTCACTGAAAATTATGCACTGAAAAGTGCATAAATACAAATACCAATTCCAAATACAAAAAATACACTCAGTGAGAATCAATGTAGGATCGTTGGTGACGATATCAAACTGATAATAGTTCTGAATTATGCAGCTGCCTTTGGCTCCAGTAAAATGGCCTCGCTAGGTAGAATCAAACTAGTTACTCTAGATATAATGTCAATGTAGTAACATTTCTCCTCATGACCTCCTTTTAGCTGCCCTACTGGGGAATATAATGGAGTGTGAGACTGCAAACAAACTTTACCAGAAAAAAATGACTGTATTTTCATGAATTATATAAATCCTTCTGATACTTTAACTTAAGTATGGTACTGAAGAGCAGTGTATACCACTGAAGTGCAGAATACTTAAAATGAATTAATTCAGTGCAAGTGTCTTATTTAAGCAATGTTCTCTTTCAGCTACAAGTGTAATAATCAGATGAAATGGTCTAATATGGTGGTATTGTTATAAGGATAATATGACAAAATATAACTCAGTTTTATCCATTTCAACGTGAAAATTAATAATGGCAATAATATTATGCCAGTATCTTTTTTTTTTTTTTTGATTACCACTGTTGTTAGAAATTGGTTCAGTCTAGTATTACTGGTGCCACAGTCTGGCTTACAGCAATTAATTTCTGCAGAAAGAATTAATTAAATTCTTCTCATCACTTTTTGGCATGAAAAATGCAAAAAAACATGTAACTTGTAAAAAGGAGTGGGCGTTGTGGCAGTGTTTGCACCACATTCTTACCCTCTAATAGCTTGTCATCCACATAACTTAAGGCACTCCACTCAAGTCTGTTTGATTTTGAGCACAAATACTTCAGATGTCCCATGGGAGAGAAATATTCAAGACCACTGCTCTGTACTAATGCAGAAAATCAAGAAAGCATCTTTGACTTTGCTTTGCTGTGAAAATGAGCAATTTTAAGAGTCATAGAAGCAGAATAGACCTTGGCTGGTATGGACTCATTGATCTGCTTGTATCGATGGCATGGCATTGGTATATTTGAGCTAACTGTCAAGACTAATTTTTCTTGGGATTAGAGAGTATAATTCTCTTCATCTTACATATGGAAAATGATATATGGCACCCTTGCAACAGTAGACAAGTTAGCCTTAAACATAGGCCAAGGTTCTTAACTGATTCTTCCCTCACATTTTCTGGGTCTTTCTAGGTTACAGAGTTCCCTTATGTAATAGCTCCTCTTATTTCTACCTAAGCACCTTGTGCTAATTCTCAAGCTAACATTACATATAAGTAAGTGATGGAAGTTAGAGTTTTCATTTAAGTAACTGGCCATATCTTTGCTGCTTGGCAGTAGTTAGGCAGCTCTAGATACCAGAGGGGCCTTTGATGCTACTGAGTTGGATACCATTGGTGATAGAGGGAGCAGATTCTGGGAATTGTTGTTTTTACCACTCACAGGTAGCAGACTTGCAGTGCTGTATGTAACTGTGCGTTTACTCTGTTTGTTCAAGTCTGGGTTCCAGGCCTGGGAGGCAATTCGTGTAGAATTGTTCTCACATGGCTGTAAGGAGCCCAGTGGATATTTGGATTTTCCACAGCACGGGTGAAGTTTTCTTTGCTTATATGTGCAACTACACACTTAGCACTACTGATACTGATACTATGATTTTCTGAAGGGCTTTACTAGATCCCAGACCGACTCTTGTTTATCTTGCAGTTCTCACCGAAGTCTTTCTCATATGTAAGGGCCTTGTAGCTGTGGCTAACCTAATGCTTCTTGCTAAGTAAACACAAAACCTCTGGTAATTGCACTGGAATTTATATATGCTCATATCAAAATTTATTTAGTTTATATAAGTATAGAATGTAATATATAAAAATGCATAATATTTAAAAAAGCATATATTAAAAATGCATCCAGGAAAGGCCACCTCTCTTTTCTCGTCAATAAAAGGAGATTTTCATGTTGAATTGCCTGGTTTGTTGTTCTCTCTCTTCTTCACTGCATATCGTATGTCATCAGGTTTACTTCCCAATAAAATTCAGCTATTACTTTTTCGTGCTTGATTGACAGCCACTGCTCAGCTAACATCAAAGCCTGTACGTCTAGTTACAGAACAGGTAGCACCCTCACTGAGTTGCATAGACCAGTTCAGTAGCCATATAGAATGACTCTTGCATTGTGTAAAAAGCAGGCTTTTAAAAAAAAAAAACTGCAGTGAAACAGCTTCCTTCTCACCTCCTCTGCACACTAAGGTGCACACGCTTCCACAGTCTGAACAGACTGCATTCAATTTACAGGGACAGAAAACCAACATTTCCAGAAAAAGCACTGAATACCAAGTTATACTGTTGCCTTCTGTTGGTGTGTTGTTACCATAAGGAATTTTTAAGTAAATGAAAAAACATTTATATTTTCCAGTATAAACCTGCTCACACAAAAAGAATAGAACATATTTAGGAGGAAATTATTTGAGATTCTTCTTTTTTTAAGCAGTTGGCAACTCATCAATGTTTTTTCAGCTGATCTATTTGTCACATTATTTGTTGGCTTGACCTAGGATGGTCTTCACAGTTTCTCAACACTTTTGCCCCTCCTGTAATTTCCTCATTAGTGATCAATGAGTTAAATGGGCTACTGTTCTGACTACTTTAATACCTATTTTAATATCAAGAGCAATGTTGGAGCCAGGCATACTACCTGAACAAACCATTTAGAAGTTATTTGGTTGGAACCATATTTATCCTGTATTAAGAGAAAATGCCCAAACAACATAGCCATCCAGTTACTCTAGTAATAGCTGAAAAGGGATCTCTAAAGTCACTGTGTCAGTTGTAGTAACTTTTACAATCGGTATGCTCTTGGGCAGAAAATACAGAGATGAAAAGCTCTGTCTCCCATTATTGGCCCCTTGAGCCATCCGGTATTGCAGATAGAGTTTGTTTTCAAGAAAAAAATTAATCATATTTATTACAAGCAGAGCAAAATGTTTCTGATATCTGAAAGACAAAGATAATGTGGCCGCTAGGGTTAGTCTTTCTATATCCCAAAATGTCAACACACTTGCCAAAAGTGAATTTATTAGCTCAGTGCAGCTGACAGATTTAGTTTATCTAAATGTCCTACAAGGAATAAATAGTTTACCACTGGTTTGGAAGATTGGTCTATATCTAACATTCTATTGACATATGCTATAGATTTAATTTAATGCTGTGGTTCAGATGTCTCTTCTGATAAATTTTAGTAAAATCTATGCTAAGAAGAATGGATCTGTTTCAGTATTTATGGGTTTAAAATGCAGGGTTAGCAAAGGAAACATGTTAATTGAAACAATGTTTGTGTATATTCTTGGAAAGATTTAGAGAATTTTGCTAAAATTTGTTGGTCAGTTGGTTCCAACTATTAGAAGTTTAGTATTTTTCAGTTTACTGTCTTTTCTATTGTGAGAAAATCCTCCAATGAACTGACTAAATGGCTCATTTTTTATTTTTTAGGCATATTGGAGATAACATCTGTAGAAATTGGAGTTGTGGCAGTTAAGTCCATTAAGAGCAACTATTATTTAGCCATGAACAAGAAAGGAAAAGTCTACGGCTCTGTAAGTATTTCTTTACCTTCCTAATAAATTGCAGTAGTCAGCATAGTTCCCTCTCTTACCTACTGAAAACCTCCCTTGTCTGTGTATTACTACTAATTAGAGCTGAAATGAGCTGTTCATCAAAATATCATCCTCTGGTAAACCAGCAGCCCCCTTCTCCACAACTCCCTGGATTTTGTTAAGCTCATATGATACCAAAGCAGCTGCTAGGATTTATCATGCTTACTGCTTCAGTCAGGTTTCTCATTAAGTAATGGCCAATGGAGAGGGTTCTAGAAAATGTAATCTTTAATGCTGTTTTTACTGTTTTTCTGCAGTACAATCACATTTAGCAGTAATTCTGGGGGGAGGATTAAGGGTACCTGAAATCTTGGAAACTTCAGTTGACGGAGCAGACACATCAAATTAGCAAACTATGACTTCCAAGAAGATTTCTAGAGTAACCAGCTTTAATTAGTACACAAGATTATGGGCATTATAGAGAGATATAGACATATTTTAGCAGATATATACGCTTTGACTGAGCAGAATTTGGGTATCATTTGAAAATTGTCCATATATGCTCTATTTGTGTTTGTGAAAGTTTGAGGTTACTGATACTTTCAGGGGGGAAAACAAAACCAAAAACAACCTGACAACCCAACAAAACCTAGTAACTATCCAAATATTTTTAACAGGAAGCAATACGATCTATAAATCTGACTGGTAAACTCAGGTGTACCGTCATACATCCGCATGATTATACAAACATCAGCTTGTTCTGGTATTACATCTGTCCGTGTTTTTAGTTTTGCAACTTTTTCCCAGTTCTAGTGAGTTTGAGCCCACATACATGTAAACATATTGAAGTCATCTGCAAAGGTTATGAGCCAATCTTCAGATTGCTCGGTATTCAAAACATCCATAGGCTTTAGAGAGAGCAGGTCCGGGGCTGCTGAAAATGTTGAAGTAGTGCCAATCTCAACTGAGACTCAAAGGACTTGAAGTCATTTAGCCCTCTTTTTTAAGGAAGCATTTCCATGGAGTGGGTTCAGCTCATAGAAACTGCATAAGCTGTCCTCCCTCATCTGCACTATGGCTAGTCACTCCTGGTTCAAAAACTAATTTCTGACTTTCTAAACTCCTGGGCAGTGTCAAAGAATCATATAAACGAAAGACCAGAACAGAGGTATGTTTCTTGAACTCTTCTAAATGTCGATTTTAATTTCTAAAATTATATTGGTCAGAAATTCAGGATAAGCAGTGTTCAGTCCTGTGCCATTGACAGGTACAAAGATATACAGAGTTGCTGACAAAGTTACTGTTAGTCAGTTAAGCTACACTCATTGCTCGTGGGTACGCTTCTGTACGTATGTGAAGGCATTCGCATAACTCACCATCTTCAATTCACACATCTCAATTTACAGCATTTAATGTAGTCATCTTTGGTGGTCTGTCCCAAAGCCTGAGGTAAGTATTCCTAGCCAAGTTGTTAGCCATGGCTGGTTTGGTGAGAGCCCATCCCAACCCTAGATACACACAAAAGAAGTCAAAGCAGTTTTCATGCATCATAGGTGGAAACTGCTGCCATAAGATTCGGTAATTCATAGTGTATTAGAAATTGTGTTGACAGGAGGATTCAAATGTGGAAAGCCTTTTTTTAAATTCCAGCTGAGATAATTTTTCAATATTCACATCATAAAATCACAACATAATGACTTATCAAAACCTATTCCATAATACTTCGGAGATTTAAAGAATGCTTCTGTTATTATTTTTCCCATCCTCCCAAGATTTGCAGTTAGACTCATATTACTACAGTGTGGCAGCTTGCAGATGGATATGAAAAACAGAACCAATAAAAATTGTAAAAACACTCTTAAGCATGTGCACAATAGACATTGGTGCAGGGTTATGCTGAAATTTGTTTGAAATGAGCAAAGCAGTCTTGGGCTAACACTCAGACCTCTGCCAATAAGACTTCTTAACCACATTGCAACATCATCTGTTCTCTCTGTATTATCTAAGAATAGAGATAAAAGTTTGGATTCGAGTACAATTCTGCATCTGGGAAAACAAGTCAAGTAAGACTGTTTCTATGTTTATCAAATACATTTCCATTTGACCAACTTTGATTAGAATTAGGGAGCAAAAGAAGACTCACTTTTTGATTTCTTTAACAAAATAATCTGCTGGCATATAGGAGAAGTTACTGCAGTTTAGAATTGTGGTTGACAGCCACCTGTCTTCTTACTATCTTGATGCCAGAGGTGGCATATTACAGCAAATGGATATTAAATTATCTAAAGGTAGCTTTGTGAATACAGGCAGTATCAAGGGTCATTTTATAGAGAGTCTTCTCTTGATAGTGTCTTCCCCAAAAGTCATTGTTCAACTAACTACTAATCCCAAATTCAAAGAGCATTTTGAGTTACAAATTGAGCTTGAATATGTGCAATTCTGGTCCAAAAACATAAGCATGTGTTCTGTGATCATAGCAGCAACTAAGTAAAACATTATTATAGACTCAAAAATTCTTAGTGTATCAAAGTACTGAACATGAACTTTACGCAGTTTAAAAATTGTAATTTAAATTAATAGGAGTGGAAAATATTCTTATGCCCTTTTTTACTAATGTGAACAGTTTCTATATTTTTACAAGATGAATATCTAAGGATTTTGATCATAATAAAATATCACTGAAATTCTTATCTGTACCATGAGAATTGTTTTACTATTCAGGCATATTTCTTGTCTTGTTTGTAGACACATTAAAATACAACATATAATTAGTATATCATACTCTGAGCTTCTGCCTGAGCTGAGAAATAACATCTTATTTTCTGTTAATATTCGTATGTTGTGTGTTGTATGTTGTAAATGTTCCACTTTCAAAAGCCTTCTAAATGGAAAATAAGTAACTTGATAAAACTGGGGTTTTTTACATATTAGGAATTACCTGTTTGTAAAAAGAAAGCATTTTTGTCTTCAAAAAGAGCAGATCTGAGTAAGAGTGCGTTTAACATTATAGAAAAAAAATACTCTCCCCCTACATGCTTCCACATGCTTGTATTTTTTACTCTTTCTAACAAACTGTCAACTGGTTCTCCTTTAAAAATAGAAAAAATTAGTCCCTGGTACCATGAAGAAAATTGCTTTCAAGTTTATTTAGTCAATAATATACAGGATCATGCATGATTCTTTTTTAGGCTGAGCCCCTCTTCAGGTCAGCAAAGTAAACAAGCCTCACATCCATTGCAAGAGCAACATAACAGTGACTTGCACGCATCCAAAAAAGCCCTTTTTCATGGCAAATGTGGTGTAAAGGATCTTACTCTAAATAAGAAGTAGGCCTTTGCCATGCATATTTGTGTAACATACGGTATCAATAATCTGGTTCAAGATATTTAAGGTTTGTATTTGTTAGAACTGAAATATGATGAATGTTTCCAGGACTGCTACCTCATACTTTGAGTTTGTGACTGAGAATTTGATTTAATAACACACAGGACCGTCATTTCAGCTGTGAGTGAATTATATAAATTCACTGCTATAATTATGCACTGAATAATTGATTATGTCTTTTGTTGCTTTCACTTTTTGTAGTCCAACTGATGCTGCTTTAAAGGTTGTAGACATAGTGAAACTTTTCTTTAAATACAGAGTGGAATCCTTAAAGGGTGCCACATACAAAATACTGAAATCTTCCAAAACATTTTTAGAAATTATTTGCCTTCAGTATGCTGCGACTCCGAAAGATTATGTTTATTCTGAATTGTGTATTTGTTTTCTTCTTTTAACAGAAAGAGTTTAACAGTGATTGCAAGTTGAAGGAAAGAATAGAAGAAAATGGGTATAATACATATGCTTCCTTAAATTGGAAGCACAATGGAAGGCAAATGTTTGTGGCCCTGAATGGAAGGGGAGCTACGAAGAGAGGACAGAAAACAAGAAGGAAAAACACTTCAGCTCACTTTCTTCCAATGGTAGTAATGTCATAGATGAAGGAACTATTTTATTGATGCAGTTGAACCAAAGGCTCTTATGTCAAGAATTTTTGGTAATCCTATTGAAGAGTAAATGCAAAGAAATAGCGCAGACATCTGCCTGTTTCAAAAGAGAACAGGGAAGCCTTTGAAGGTTTTGTACTCATTGCTGGCACTTGAAATACTTTTATTTAGTTCAGTGTCATATTTTATAGTCAAGATACAACCTGCATCAAAGGGGATGAAAGTTATTGCCAGTGTGAACAATTTTTTTTTTTTTTTTTTCCTGCAACAGAACTTAAAGGACATGAGACAATCTGTTGCATGATCTTCATGGGGAATGCTATTTATGGAATACTAACTCATATCAAAGACCTTAATTGCTTGTTCAAGCCTAATGATCCAATGAACAGTTAGACATGCAAGCATTTACTGGAAGCACTTGGATCATATGCACAAATAATGACATTTCTGGCGAAGCCTTGTGGAAGAATGGGATAGAATTAAGAAATATAAGCAAAGTAGTGTAAAACTGTTCTAACAAAACGAATAGTATGGTTTGCTTATATTTTCTAACTTCATTTCTTTTTATTTCTCTCTAAGTTATTTATTTAATAGGATGTTAAATATCTTTTTGATTTGAAATGTTTTCCTCATTTGCTTCTTTGCTATTTTCCCTTTTTCTCAATACTTCACATTGAGGTTGATAGGATAAAATGTCAAAACCTCAGAAGTACACTGAGAATAGGTATTAGACAAGGCTTTAAAGGCAGAATTTAATGTGTATAATCCATTTTTTTCCTAAACTGTCTTGCACTTAAGCAAAAAGACCAAACAAGCAGTGCTTGGATTTATGGTATTGGGTGTCTTTATGTTGGAGAATTTTTTTTACTTATCAGCACTCAAGAACAAACTTCAAGAAATACTTTGTTCAAAGGGTCTTTCTGCTATTTTGAAATTGAGAGAAGGGGCCACATCTGTACTTGGGTGTCAGTGCAGCTGTGTGTATATTGATCGGACTGATTTCAATTTGGAGCTAAGATCTAATGGATTGCAATCACTGCAATATTCTGCAGCAAGCCTTGGGCTGGAACCTAGATGTGAACAGCCCTATTAACGTCTCTGAGATTGCAAATGTTAAAATTATACAGTGTGTAATTCCCAAGTGTAAAATTTGGCCTCTGAAAGGTAAGTAAGAAGGCAACATGGTCGTTCCTGCACTTCTTATTCAGTTAATACCAGTTAAGTTGCCCGTTCAGCGCATTTGTCCTTGTTATCACCTTGTAGAATCATGGGCACATAGTGGGAGCGATACCCAAGAAAGGACTGAGGAACAGGAGATCCAAAATCGTGCTCATGCATTTATCAGAGATTATTACTCACTTTTATATTATATATGAGAGCCAACAAAAAAGCTGTGCTGGTATCCAGCTTTAGCATGCCTTTCATATCCATCACAGTAACTGAAGGCTCAAAATACATAATATCCAGCACATTTTTATGAAGTGTTACTAGTCCCATGGCTTAACTTGAGCAACTGCAGTATAACAAAGTTAAGCATAATATGAAGTCTGTTCAATTAAAGGTACATAAGGTTTGTTTTATGTTTTACTTTACTCTGTAATTTTAGAGAGCTCTGGATAGCTCACCAATGTAACCATATTGAAATTCATTTTGTTAGAGCAGATAAATAGAAAACAGTACATCAAACAATTTGTACCACTGTCTTCACATTGTATTCCACTAAATAAATAAATAAGCCTTTGCAGTGTCTTTAGTAAGAAACAAAAGTAGTATAATATTATTTTGTTCTAAATACTTTAAGTGATAACTATGAGATTATATTGATGCTGCAGTTTTATCTTCATTATTTCTTGTTGTGAAAAAGTTGGTTTTATTTTTATTGTTTGGAAACTGTATTTTGGTACAAACGAGAGCCTTGCTTAATGTGTCTTTTTGAGAATGTTTAACCTCTATAAAGGCTGGTGTTGTTGGAATCTTCTATAACTTATTTAAGTCAATGTTTAACCAGCACTTCATTCTTAATCTGTTATTTAAATCTTAGCTGTTTTTTTTTAAAAAAAAAAGCAAAAAATAATAGCTTTCCCATAAAATACAAAATGGTCAGATTGTATTTCCTGTCCTTAAATAAAGTCAACTGTTTTAAAACCAGGAAGTTGTTGAGAGACAACATTTTAGCTGGTACTTGACATTGCATTTCATGGTACTTTATCTACATCTTTCTTCTTCACAAATGAGACTTTTCTAGAAAGGGCTAAAAGTATTTCAGATTTTAAATGTAATTGCAAGTCACAGCAAAACTTAACTACCATGATAAAAGCAAGTTTCTCTTTAAAATTTCTAATCAATAACAATTCTGTGATTCCATGATAATTAAAACTGACAAGACATAATGAACCACCCGCAGTGAACATTTAGTGTGAGCTTGGGTGAATGCAGTATTGGATGACCACTTAAAGAACATTTAGGGTACAAACAAAATTCTTTTTTGACAAAATTACTTAGATGGCTTGGTCAGGGGAGGGATTATGCATAAATAATATCATAGTACTGAAAACATGAGGCTGCTCAGCGGCCAAAGTTGGGAAATAGCACTTTTCCAAAGTGAGTCAGGAGCTCATGCGACATGAATAGTGGTTTCTGAAAATTGACCAGAATTAAAAAAAACCAAAACCTTGAAGGAATCAATGATTCCTGTGTGTTTGGTGTACTGAAATACCCACTGTAGTGGGAGCAAACTGCAGACACTCTATCTAGAGGATCACAGATCCTCAACCATGAGCTAAAAATGTATAGTATGTTTAAATAAAAACAATAAAATGTGAGGAATAGAGAATAATAGTATTGTCCTTGTTTGTTTTATTAACCTGAAATGATACTGCACAATAAAAATAAAAGGGGGAAAGATCCATTGTACTATGTGATCTACAGTTTTGGTGCTGTATAGCTCCAAAACAGAGCAAAAATCACTTGAACATTTGTAAGTTACTTAAATTTCTTTCATCTGGGAGTCAGCTATCTCCACACTAATAACAACCAAATGCTTTAGATTCTTCCTGTAAGTATTCAAATCCACCTAGTTTATACAGTGGAAAAGGCAATGAATTTAAAGCAAGCAAATTTGATGAAAGAATGAAGGGATTTAGGAAGAACAGGTACTCACATTTTTAAAGTAAACTTTAGATAAGGAAAAATAGTTACATTTTATATAAGACTTCATTCAACACATTTCAGTTTATAAAGTTCACTAAAGGTTAGTAAGCTTTAGTAATACAAGAATACCAGTGTACGAGCACAACTTTGCCCTGCTGTGACTGATTGTCTCTATTCACACAATCAGTTGTAACTGCTTCAAGGATTGATCTTGAAACTAATGCATGAAGACAGCCCTCTTTTGAAGTATCAAGTATCATTATTTACTCTGTGAAGTTAGATTGTGGGGCAGAATTCATTCTCCTAATTTCCTATTAAATTGGAAAATGAAAAGTACAATATATAACACAAACACATTTTCTGCTGCAGCTAGTCAATGTGTGATTATTGATGGTATTTTTCAGAAAAAGCTTATTGACTGAAACAATTTCAGTGCAACTGTGAATGACAAGCATATGCAAAAAAAGGTATTTCCCATCACATTATAAGCAAGAAATAGAATATGAAAAATTAATTGGTTTTGGACCTATAAGAGAAAGGTTTATAGTTATGCTTACCTGTTCAAATATTTTAACATCATGTTTAAGTATATGGGAGCTTTCTCAGAATAAATTTGGGGATTTTCTAATGAAGCACAGTGAATTTCACATACCTGATTGTTGTCCCTTCACTCACTAATCCCAGAAAAAAATAGAGTCGTATGTCCTTTTCCCACCTCAACAATGCAAAGAAGATAACGCTCCTGTGAAAGGCGAAATAAAGGAACCATGACTAAGCCTGAAGTAACTGACAGGGGAGCGCTGTGGTATAAATGAGAAGAAATTACACTCCTGAAATTCCTAACCAGGACCTTTAGTGATGCTACTGTATACTATTTCATTAATGCAGAATGCTAACTCACCGAATTGAAAAAATGGATAAGCCAGCGGTGACATCAAAAACACACATGGTCTCAGACCATTGTCCAAATATGAGGCTGTGAGAATCACAGTGTCTGAAAAAAACCCACAGAAAGTGCTCCATTGTACAGTTCTGTGCAAAATATTTATGTGTCTGATGGTATACAGATAATGTACCACATTGGAAAAACCAGACTCTTACATCAAAGCTCAGGTGCTATATCTATGTTGTGATAATGTAGTAAATAAAGAATTGAGATATTACAATTTCGTTATTACTACTGATATGTTAAGTGTGTGCACCTTTGGTGTTGCCATTGATCCAAGCTCCAGATTTATTATTAAACCATGCAAAGTATTCTGTGGCTTGGTTTAAATTTTTCTATGTGATTTTTTAATTTTAAAACTATTTTACTAATTGCTCAGTGATCTTTTAACTCGCTCATTTGCCAAGAGTCCTCACAAAATTCTGGGAAAAGGCTGAATATTGGTCTACAACTGAATCTGCACCTTTTTTAAGCTATAAATAGCTGAAAAAACAGATTATATTCAATGTTGTACATGCAGGAACTTGCCGTATTCAATGAGGTGTGTCTGAGTGGGATGGAAAATTAATCTCTCCCATCCATTATTTTCACCCATAATATTTGTGTACTTTCTTGGATTAGCAATAGTCTTGGAGTCCCGTTTACCCATGTTTCCAAAATCGTAGAATCATAGAATCACAGAATGGTTTGGGTTGGAAGGGACCTTAAAGATCATTGAGTTCCACCCCCCTGCCATGGGCAGGGACACCTCCCACTAGACCATCACAAAATGTACATCACAAAATTCTAGAGCCCTTAACTTTCTCTTTTATCTCTTTTTTTTTTTTTTTTTTTTTTCTTTAACAAGTTGAGGCAGTATTCAGAAAAGGAACTGCCTTATCAGGAGTCTAGATACACAATTTAACATTCTTTCCAAATGGTATTGAACTAATCCATTCAGGACAATCAAAATGTTTTGAGCTTGCTCTTCTAGTACCCATATCAGTAGGCTTCAGATACAATTTACTACTTGATTAAACAGTTTTATTTACACGCAGATGTAGAAAGACTAGTCCAGGAATAGCAGAATCTTGGAAAAAAACTCAGTAAACTTCTAGATGTTAGGGTCATCTAGACTGTGACCTTTCAGGCAACATTTCTAACCAATCACAATAAAAAAGTAGAGTATTGGGTGTAAATAAAAATTACAGCATAAGTATTCATATGAGGCATCTTGAATTTTAAAATTTGCACTAAAAAATGTGAGCTTCAAAAACACATTCACGTTTAATATTTTTGAAAAAAATATGGAGTTTTCGGTTTACTTTTACATTACTATGTGCTGTATAATTCATGTCCAGTTATGGTAACTATAATTTCTTGCTCCTTTTCTATATTGTGATGCCCCCAAACAAAAGATTCATAAATGGTTCACCGAGGGACCTTGCACAACGGATGTTTTCAGTACTCTATCGTTAATGCCACAAACATAAGACTCTCATTTCTGGTTCCATGTAGGACATGACACAAAGATTCAGTGATTCTGTAGTGTTTTGACAACCTTGGCTCCCTGAAACTACCCATATACTCACTAGGAAACATGCAAATTAGGCTCAAAAGTTAAATATGCGTTGTGAGGATATAATAACTGGCAATTAAAAAAACCATCATGCATAACATATGTTGAAAAATGAAAATGTATTTTTCTCCTTCTTTGTCTTTCCATAGTTCACTCAAGAAAAGGGAAACAGAAGGAGAGAGTATGATATTATTATCCTTATTTACAGTCTTAGTTGCTTTTCTTAGTTGGTAGCCAATACATGACCTATGCTGGTCTTTGACTGGATCTTATTTCAGCGATGAAACAGAATAGAGATATCAGCAGTCTTGTAAAAGAAGGGTCAACCTCTTTCTCTTCCTTATGGTCAGCCAATTTGACTTACTGAGTGCTACTGATATAGCATACAGTTTACGCTCGCTTAAATATAGATTAAGCTAAAAGACTTCAGCTTTGGAAGAAGAGATATGGCTCTGCTTATCCTATTAAATGAGTACTGTATCCTTTGCCTGACAGAGACAGATAAGATTTAATTCATTAATTTATTTAACTGATTGCTTCTTAAATGCCCTGTGGTGAACGATATAGTGTGAGAGAAAAGTCTTGCTGATAGCATAATTATTACATTTTTATGGTAATTGGGAGGTGCAGTGGGAAGATGCAGTGTCAGGGCAGTTAAAGTACCTCAATACAAAATCCTGTAGGAAGGTTCACCCTATATTCATACTGAAAGTCATCACTGAGTTGTAAATGAATGCTTGGGCCTCCAGATTGAGGAAGTCAGTTATCCAGAAGTAATGGTAGGCACTTTGCTCCCCTGACTGCCCTAGTGTCTTAACCATTCTCCACGTTAAAGTAACAATAAGCTTGACTCTGATTACATGTAGAGATGTAGAATGTGAGAAAATTCTATTCATAGTCAGAAAGTGACAACGAGCAAGTTCAAATCACCTGCAGCAATCATGTATTCTTTCCCCTTCACTCTCATAACACTTCTCCTGGAGTTCTTGTCTGACTCCTGACACAAATACAGTCTTTCCTCATTGCACTTGAAATGCAATACAGCATGAGGTTTCTAACACCCCATGCTATGTGTACTAAGTATTATGGATGGAAATTTTCTTGTGAAAAAAATAGGTGAAAACTGTCAGGTGGTGTTTTGCAAACACTACCGTAACCAAAAACTGCCTGTAACACACAGGGACAGATGTAAGAGCAGACTGCTTCTCAGCACTTTTATGACAGGTATTCTGCTTGTGAGTAAGGCTTACATGTATTAGATTTTCCCCAAACTTATCATTTATATTCTTAGAATCATAGAATGGTTACATTTGGAAAGGACCTCAAAGATCATCTAGTTCTAACCCCTGTGCCATGAGCAGAGACACCTCCCAGTAGACCAGGTTGCTCAAAGCCCCATCATCAGTGAGCTTCGGAAAGTTGTCTCAGCTTGCCTGCTGAGAGCTATTAATACAAGACACTAGGTTTTGGCCCAGAAGGTACTTGACCTTCTTA